AGTTGACCAAATAATCTTGTAAGATGACTGATATCTACCAATTGTTGATTGGCAAACGATGGCACACATTAGTTACTACGATGATTCCGCAGATACCATGATAGACATTGCTTTTCGATATAATTTATCACAAGTAGTTGAAAGCTACTCAAAGATTCAAGGCAGTTCCAAATCAATTCGAGATTCTGTTTTGTTTCTGGAAATATAACACATGATTGCTCTTGTGGCATTGTCCCAGGTATTTTCTATCTCCTTGCTGTAGTGTTAACCATGTCAAATGTTTCAGTTCATGAAAAACTCAAGGTGACTACTTTTTATACATTTTCTAAAGCAGATGATGAATCGATACTTAATATCCTTTCTTTTCATTTGGATGATTTTGCCAATAGTACTGATAGTGTAAATGATCTTTGGATTAAGTTTTTGGGCATTTTGGCTAAAAGCAGTGAACGTTGTGTCCTAACCACACGTAAAAAGCCTAGAGCCAATACTCCGTGGATATCTAGGCAGACATTGAAATTGAGAAGAAAGGTTAAACTATTAAAAAAAAGTCAGGTCTCATTGTGCTGACTTTATTTCTCAAGAGAAAACTGCAGAATTGACACCTCATATCACAGTGAAGATTATTTCAGACAAACAGCGTTACTTTGGTGAGTTTTACCTATAGTTTTGTTACTACATTGCCAGAGAAGGTTTTCAGGACTATTTCACTAAAGTTAAACGAATACAAAATATTTGATGACCATGGCAAATAGATAACTGATCCAGAACCAATGGCGAACCTTTTTAACGAGCACTTTAGATCTGTCTACACCTAAGACAATGGTGCCTTGCCGACTTTTAATTTCTCCCTACCTCCCATGCCTGATATTGTTATCTGTGAAAGTGGTATCTTAAACAAGTTACTGAAACTCGATACGAAAAATCACCTGGCCCTGATTACATTCCAAATGCATTTTTGAAAAGGTATTCAGAATGGGCATCAAAGTATTTGTGCACATATTGTTCTGTAAATCATTGCTCTATGGTGAAATACCACTAGATTGGGTAACAGCCAGAATAAAACCAATACATATAAAAAGAAACAAGAACCAGGTTCACAACCACCGACTAATTTCGTCAACATCAACATGCTGCAAATTAGAACCTATAATAAACAATCATATCATTGACTTTCTCAACAAGCACAATTTCTTAATTAGACACCAGCACAGATTTAGAAAATGCTTTTCAACCTGCACTCAGCTAGTTGAAACCGTACATCATTTTGCGAGAGCCATTAACTACGGCAAACAAACAGATGCAAATTTTATGGACTTCACCAAAGCCTTCGATAAGGTTTAACACAAAAAATACTTTTAAAATTAAGGAAAGTACTTCAAAACAAAACGTTAGTTGCCTGGCTCTTTTCTTACTTAACTAAACGACATTTTGTTGTTTTTTATTGTTCCTCAAAACATGTAACGGTTTATTCTGGCATTCCCCTGGGCTAAGTTCTAGGGCCCAGTTCTAGGGCCTCTACCATTTATTTTGTTGATATAATAGAGTAGAACTATTCCTGTTGAAGTCAAACTTTACGCAGATTACTGTGTTTTGTACTCAAAGATTCATAGCACATCCGATCAACTTCTGTTAAATCAGGCATTTTAAAAAGTAGCCTCCTGATGCGAGGAATGGCAGATGGTCATTAACTTCGGTAAAACTGTATTTATGCGAATTACTGACAAGAAAAGCCTTCTACTTTCCATCTACAACACTAACAACACTTACAAACTGTTTTTCTTAGTCATGCTCTCAAGCCGTCCACACCTGCTGTTGTCTGTCTTTTAGCGTACAAATCAATTGTTTTACTTTATCTGAAATTCTTTCACTAAAGCTAACATGAACAAATTAGAAAAAGTCCAAAAAGGGCAGTGCGTTTTATATATAACAATTTTTCAAGGACTTCTGTTATGAACCTATTAAACAGAACTGCACTTACATCCTTATCAATAAGACGCCGTAAATAAAGACTGAAGTTTTTGTATCAACTAATTAAAGGCCAGTATAAAATTAACACAGCCAATATTTTTTTCATGTTCTTCTGGCTACTCTACCAGGAAGAGACATGACTTTACCATAACTCCCTTTCCAACATGCAGTAATTGCTTTCAGTATTCATTCTTTCCTCGCACCATAGTCATTTGGAATAAACTAACTAGTGCGATTGTTTTCATTAGAACTAGACAGTGCTGTGATAAACTGAATCATATTACATATTGTATAAATGTAGTCTTTTTTTCTCTGTTTTCTTATTATATTTTTTGTATCTTACTGTATATTCTTGCCCATGAAATTTTGTACCTGCCCTATGCACACTGCATAGCCTGTATGTATTATGCACCCATGTACTTGCCCTTTTGCGCATGACTAACTTCGTGTACCACCCTGCTAAAATCACCGAATGGTGAATGCAGTACCTGTAAATAAATAAAAAAATGTTTGCAATATTCAACTGTCTTCTTTGCTTTCCCCGCTTTCTCGGTATTTCTGTGTTTTCACTTTTGCTTGTCGAGCGAAGGCGAGTAGCCGACGCTAATAAATGTGCTAACACCTATTTTCATCCACCGCAACAACAAAAAATCACCTTCCTCTCAACACTGTGAATATTCGGCACACGATACCATGAGTCTCTTTCCGGGTTTCTTCTTTTTAGACAGACAACCGAGAAAGATACAAAATGATTACTCCACGATAACGTTGCGACTGATGAAAACAGCTGGTCCTGCGGCCTTTGATTCTCGGTTAATTGGGGGTCTCGCGAGGAATACATGAAAAACAACAGTAGCAGGCACTTACGAAATCATTACCTTGTCACGTGGAGCTAGCAATTCTGCCGCTACCGGGCAAGACCACGAAGTTTGATTGCTGTAGAGTGATGACCACTATAAAAGCTTTACGGTTTGGCTCAGGGTCAACATCGCTGCCGAAGCGTTTCACCCTATACAACTGCAGCTACGGGGACAAGCCGGTATTCTGGCGCAACATTCTTCATCGGCCTTTATTCTGTCTACGCACTCGTTGGGTGGAAGGGCTTTGGCGTGTTGCGTTTTATGAAGAAACCACGTTGTAATGCTACTATCAGTGTAAAAAAATAACTGAAAGAAAAGCTAGAAACTCTATCAAGTGCTGAGACCAACCAATCATTTCGCAACTCTTCCCAAACTCGAAGAATTTCAAGCAGTCCGGTTTTTTTTTTTTTTTAGATGCGAAGCATCTTATGGTAGACTTCAATCCGGCGTGCGGCGTGACCGCGGCACGGCCGTCCCTCTTCCTCTCTCGCCTAACAACGACAAAGCAGGCAGCGTCTGATAGCTACGCTCACTTCCCCTCTCTTTCACGAAGCACTTTAACGATAATATTTTTGGATCCCAGTGAAAATCAAACCCAGGCCATCTGCGTGGCAAGCTGGTGTTCCACCGCAGAGCCACGAGGCTTGTTGAAACTGCCTTATAAAACGAACTATAATAACGCCATGTAGTGAAAGGAGTCTCCTTACTCATCATAGATTGCGTGGCAGAATAATAGAATCGGGGAAGCCGTCAAAAAGTGTGAATAGAGCAATTAGTGGATGTTCTAAAGGCTCACCCATTACTAAGACCTCAAAAATATTTAATCCACATCAGCAGGAAAACAATCAACAAACTGAACAACTGCGTATAAGCTCGTGTGTTGCTCTAGGGGACGCGTAGTGGACCTTTGCTGATTCGCAAAAGAAGTAACTATGGCATAACCAAGCACTTAACAACTGTACCTGCAATAGGCATTCAATGATGCTTTGAAGTCATCAATCTTACACCCTCAGTCGTTCGTTTTCTTGTGGAACGGTTGAGGCATGCACCGAGAACTGAAGTAGTTCTAAAGGAAATCCGCACGAGGCCTGGTTACACTATATCAGCCTAATCTTGATTGAAATGCTCAAGCGTCCTCTAATTTTATTCAGCATTTACTGGTATTTTCTGTCCCCACCGCTCGCGATTCCCATTGAGCTTCACAATACCGTAGCTAGACCATCTTTGCAAAAGATAGCCCACCCTCGCTCAACCTCATCGTTTCATGGAATCAACAATTTTGCTTTCGGACCCACTATAGCCACACAAGCTGCTACGCCATCAAGGCCCATATGATTAATACGTATATTTGGGATCAGAACAAAAAAAAAAACTCCGATGTGACATTTGTGACATTTAGCCCTTCAATATGCTATGATATTATTCCATCTTGATGAAAACAGGTAACGCATTCCTTTAGGAATACTGGATCGTTCGTTTCTTCTACAAGCTGAGCTGCATGGTGCAGTGATCATTCCAGCGATATCTGATTCGTCATGGCTGACACCTGAAAATCTTGCTTCATCCACGACTCTATTAATTTAATTAGCAGGAAATTACCAGAGCCTCGGTCCGTACAAGCTCCTTGGCTTGCCTTCCCAGCCAGACGCTCCGTGAACAGTAATGTTCCCTCCGGCGTGTCTCACGTCGAGCTACTCGCGGCAGCATCGAGTTATATAAGAGTGAAATCGTAGCCAGCCGTTCCGCGTCACGCCCCTCTGCTCCTGGGCGTGGGCGCGCATCTGTCAGATTCAACGAGGGCTGTCTCGCCGTCGAGGCTTCCGTCACTTAATCCGCGTCTTGGGCGTTCCTGTTGTAGATGCAGAGTGCGGCCGTGGTCGCCGGCGAAGTCCGTTTGCGCGCAGCGGCCATTAGCGATGGAGCGTGACGCAGTCAGCGCGAATCGCGCGCGTCAACAAGCGCGGCGTGGCCGGCCGCCGTCATGAGAGGCGTTTATACGGAGGCGCCCTGGAGCAGCAACGCGCGCGTCTTGGAAGCGCTTTTTTGCCGCCTCGGGCACGCGAGACAAAGGAGAACCAGTTGGCTGGTGACGACGCGCGCGCGACCGTCGAGCGAGGGGCCTGCCCCCCTCCCCCCACCCGCTACGGCGATGAATAGGCGCCGGAAAGCGGCCGCAGCTCTCGGCGCGCTCATGCCCGACACGGGGCCTCGTCCAGGACTGACCACAGACGCTCACCGGACATGCTGGCGGCACGTGCGAAGACGGCCTGGCTACCGCTACTGCTGCTGGCGCGCTTCGCCGCGGCCGCACTTAACGACACTGGCATCGAGCTGCGCGGCGCACTGCACTCTTCGGTGAGTCTCCCATATCTGGCGCCGGCGGTAGAGGAAACACCTCTGCCGCTCGGCCAGCACTTGTTACAACGCGCTTTTAAACGCACGCGGCGCGGGTGCCATGCCTGAGGCCGCATGCCGTGGCCCCCGCGGCCTGTGCTCTCTTCTGCACGATAGCGTACGGGTCCACGGAGTTGGTGTCATTCGCGTGGCAATGGCAGGCGTAACTCTGAGTACACGTGCCCTTGTTATAACAGGGCACGTACATGCAAGGGACCAACATTGCATTATACAAGTTAAAACAGTAAATATGGGACTGAGGAGTATGTCTTGTCTCACGTCGCGGTAGACGGGGTCGATCCTCATCGGAGAGCGACTAACAAATTTTTCTCCAAGCCCACCGTCAGATGGTATCTCACTGACAGCCTGACGTTGTTAACCGAAAAAAGAGCACTTCTGCCTCTGTACCTGGGACATGGTCCTATATTGTATCTCGTTCACCCCTCACGCAGGGAAGGAGTCAGCGTGGTACCTTTTGGCATCACGTTAGGATGAATTTGCTTAGTCACCTCAGGTTGATATTATACGATGACAGCAGTGCTCCTTTATACATCAAAACTAGGGGACAGAACTTGCACGTGCCACTACAACTCCGTCAATCCTCCTAGTGTCACTGTAGAGTAAAAAGGCCGTATTCAAAGAAACTTCTTACGCTAAATAAATTCCAAAGATTTCATCTCAGCCAATCCTGATACCGGACATATAATTAGCCTAGCCAACTGACTCTTCGAGCAGGACATTTATGACCGAGACGCTTTGTGATTCCGGTGCCCGTTCTATAAGATGCGTTTCAATAAAATACCAAGTACAAGACCTCGTGTGTAAGTCCCCCTAGTCCTCTGGAAATACATTTGCAATATATTCATGTCAACATATCTACGCTGCAGACAATGTATTCAGGTCACCTTATAGATAATGAATGAATGAATTTATTTTATTTAAAGCGAGTCCGGCAATTTTCTTCGGGCGAGGCGGGGAAAGAGACGATTAACCCCGGTCCCATCCCACCCTCCGTCGATGAAATAATATTGAAAAGAAACAAAAACTAAAGAAAGTACGGGCCGGAATAACAATGCTTTTCGTTGGTTAGAAATCCTCGTCATTGGATGAGTGTCTTTGCTACTGATATGTCTTGCGTTTAAGTTTAATTCTTATCTGGGGTTTTACGTCCCAAAGCCACAATATTATTATGAGATACGCCGTAGTGGTCAGCTTCAGAAATTTCGATCATCTTTAACGTGCAATGCCATCGCACAGTATACATGGGCCTCTGACATTTTGCCTCTATCGAAATGCGAACTGGAATCGAACCCACGACCTCCAGGTCAGCAGCCAAGCACCGTAACAAGTGAACCACCGAGGCGGACTTCACCGCTGTATTTGGAAATATGAAACAAAAACACCGGCTATGTTACTTTAATTTCACAACTGCTTCATATTTATTGTTGTTTTGGCTGTTGGCTGCTTGACAAAGAATCATTATGCAGTCCCCTCTGTCCATAAAACCAATCTTTAATCGAAGCTGGATAAGGGTTTACTCGCGCAAAATAAAAGCATCCACAATGTACCTCTTAAACGTGTACGTAGGGCATAACCCATTCTAATAACCGTTCTTATCATATTTTCGATTCTGACACTAATTCTTCACATTTTTGTCGCTTGTATGGGTAGCTCACTACTGACTTGCAGACCGGTTAATCCGATATTGTTATAACTTGCCTCTTTAATTGCCAGTTTTCGAGTGATTGGTCAGCATGGACACCATAGCAGGCTATGTCAAAGTGCTTTTTCGTCAGTGTGTGGCTCTGGTTACCATAATTTCAAGTTCGCATGCAGTCCATAATTCAGCATGTAATGTGCTCTTACCTCCTTGTGCACGTTTCATAATGTTTCAAATTTTTGCATGCTACCACTATACATATATACACTCGAATTGAGGACATTTTTATATCAAAATATGACAGACAGCTCATAGAAATTGTGGTATTGAAAATCACTTGTAGGACACTTAGGGGACTTACATTTGCTTAGAGAACCTGTATTTATGTAGAATCTAACAAAAACCTATAAGTTTTTTTTTTTCACGAGGACACTCACACACAAAACAAAAAGGGAAAAAGATAACGCTCCAGGTCACAGTAATCACAACCATTCTCTGACTGTTCCACGGAAAAAAAAGCTGAACATCGTTCTAATCAAGCCGTTCTTGTTTACTAGGTCGCCTTTAATAGGAGCTTTGAAACGAGGCCAATCTACCCTTCACCCCAAACTCGACGCCGAGATAATTTTTGCATTGCCGTGCACGAGGGCTGCGAAACGAGTTTACCCGGCCACAGCAATTCATTAACTTCTTTACAAAACAAAAACATTTCAAGAAGTAAAACGGAATCGGTATTGAGGGGCAACCGCTATTGACTTATTGCTAGTAAAAATGACAGGTTTGATCTCAGTGCCTAATATAACAGCCATATAAGCAGATGCGTTTTTACAATATAATGCCATGCTATCATGTTTTCTTATGGCATTTTGAATTGTTTCGTTGAGCGATAGGTACGCAACGCATTTTAATCGAATGAATTCCATCTCTGACTAAATATAAATGAGTGCTCAACGTTTTTGTTTATTTCGCCAAGAAAAGTTTGAACAACTGAAACAGCGGTTATTGTTGGCAATGAAGATATACCATGTGCCGGCGTGCTGATATTTCTGTTCGTCGGGTTTGCAACAAGCGCTCAGTAATTTGTTACGCATCTGTCCAGGAAAAACTACAAGTCAGGCAATAATTGCTCCCCATCTTCAGAATGACAGTGGGCCACCGCACTCGTCTTTTATTTTCACATTTGACGAAAATATCGAAGCTTCAAGCGCTAATATAAACGTTTTTTTATAAATTAACAAATTAAAACTTGCGAGCAACGCTTTAAAAAACCACCAAGCCTGCGCGGAACGCGCAGCACAGTCACAGCAAAAGCTGAAAGAACGGTCTTTCAGAGCATTTTTTAAACACTTTGGGTAACTGCTACAAACAAGCTAGCTGGGTACCTACTACGCCAAAAAAATCAACGTTTTTCTGTTATAGGCCGACATTCACTGTGCTATCCTACGTCATTCTTCGGAGAAGAGTGGTTTTCGCTACACACTTGCAAAGAATTGTGTGAAAATTTTTAATGCAGTGGGTGACGACGATGAAGAATCATGCCTCAAGCTAATATGCACCGCAGTTAATAGGTAAGCAAGAACAAGCTTTTATAACGGGTTGAAGCGTTGGGCGACTCACTCACTCGTTACGCGATTCACATTGTGTGACGCCTGGTTGTTTCTTTGCTGTTCCAAAACGCTTTATTACTTATATTAACGCAATTCCTTTCCAGACATCCAGCCTGCGCAAGGACAGTTTGCAAAGTTGTCTGAAGTACCGGTGTGGCTTAGTAATAGAATACTGACTGGCACGCAGGGAACCCAGGTTTGAATTCCATTGTGTCTTTGGTGTTTTTTATTGACTAAGTTTTTTTATTATTTTGTGCGATAGCAGTTACGGAAACCGGCGGCGGACAACTACGGCACCGCATGCTACTCGTCTTGTGACCTCATAAAATCTTTCGCTGTAAAAAGTATGGTATGTCCAGTTAGCCAGGTCTAATTGTCGAGGATGACTTTTTGCATGGAAAGCTATTATGAGATCACAACAAATATCACGTGCACCACACTTGTGCGCCACCACCGCTGGTGTCCATAACCACTACCACACGAAAGAACAAAAAAACTTAGTCAATACAAAACACCAAAGACATAACGCGATTTGAACCCGCTTCCCTTGCTTGCAAGCCCAGTATTTCACCACTGAGCCACGCCGGTGCCCTGGACTCCTTTTCAGCCTGCTTTACGCAGGCTTGATGTCGGGAAAGGAATCGTGTCAATATAGTAACGTGTTTTAGAACAACCAAACAACACCCAGGTGTCATACAATGCGAATTCCGTAACGGGTGGGTCACCGAATGGTCCAACCGCTTACTAAAGCTTCAGGCATAATTCTTCATTGTCGTTAACCACTTAATCAAAACATTTGCACAAAGCTTTTTGCAAGTGTGTTGCTTAAATCACACTTCTCCGAAGAATGATGAATGACAGCATCGTGAATGCCGGCCTATAACACAAAAAATATGACAATTTATAGCGTAGTGCGTACGTAGCAAATGTGCGTGTAGCAGTTACCTAAAGAGTGCTCAGAAAATGCTTTGAAGGACCACTCTTCCAGCTTTCACTGTGACTGTGCTGCGAGTTCTGCCAAGGCCTGCTGCTTAATTTTTGCAGCTTAATTATGAGATTTTTAATCTGCCTACCAGCTGAACACCAACATAAGCGTCAGAGTCAGCATGCACAAAGCTTTTTGTTACAACCTGCGATTGGATGACCGTTTTCGACGATATGACTCCCGGTCGCGGTTTCAAATCCCGGCTGCGGCGGCTGCATTTCCGATGGAGGCGGAAATGTTGTAGGCCCGTGTGCTCTGATTTGGGTGCACGTTAAAGAACCCCAGGTGGTCGAAATTTCCCGAGCCTTCCACTATGGCGTCTCTCATAATCATATGGTGGTTTTGGGACGTTAAACCCCACATATCAATTATCAAAACAATATGACTCCCAGCATTCCCATTAGCCAGAACTTCGTTCTGCGAAGAACTCAAGTGCTGGACATTTTGGTGAATAGCAATCCAGAACCAGACCCGTACACAGGAATTTCTTCGAGAGGAGGTGGGGGTTGTCTGTAGAACGCCTAACTCTGACTACTGGTGGTCGCTCTGAAGGCATGTAAATATTTTGTTATCACCCTAAAAAGTAGAGCGTGAACAAATTTTGAAATAAAACAAAATCCCCCCCCCCCTTTCCTTATATTTAGGGCCCATCGTCAAGAACACTCACTTTTCAAACATTTAGTTACACCAGGGCTTCAGGTGAATAAAA